GCCATTCGGAAAGCTGTCGTTTCCGGGAAGCTGTTTGTTCCAGAGGGCACTCCATTGTCAGCTCTCAGCCTATAGCTCTTAACAGATTCACTTGTGCTTTACAAAGCAAATCCAATTCTTTAGGTCTGAGAAACGCGGCGCCTCGTGGGATACAGCTGCTACTGCCTTTCGGAGACGCCCTTCCGAGTGTAACAGCATTCGAAATGCAAACCAACACGTTCACATATTCTTTCAGGGCAAAGCTCTGTAAAACTCCTAAGACAAATCCTGTCCCAAAACACGTTTAATATTAATTCATGGAGCGACAGTCTTTCCACTGGTGTGGTTCATTCTCTGGAATTTACAACTGGCTGCTGAGTTTTCGGAACAAAATGGAGAAAGGAGCTAAGGGCCTCAGAATTCAAGTAGACTCTTACTTAACTCTTCTTATCATCCCTGCCCATCTCTCTTTCCCTGTCTCTCTCTGGTGTCCCTGGGTGCAGGACCTTTTAGTTTTAGTTTCTGAAGAAAGTAAGCTTCCCCTTCTTGTGGGGGCAGCAGGGGGAGGGGAGAGTTACCTGATAAATAGAGTTGTAGAAAGGGAACCCATGTAGAGGAGCTTCCTGTTTTCTGCCTCATTCTCCCTCTACCTTCTTTGGGTCTTGGTTCTTTTAAATCCTGAGCCTTGTGGGGATTGTAGCTGCACAAATTGGCCTGTTGATCCATGATAACTCTTCTTCTTATGACATTTAGGTTATAACCCAATCTCTCTGCTGAATTGGTTATCATCCCTCTGTCTCCTCTCTGTGTTTCAGAAGTTTGTTAAATACTTGACGGCTCTTTCTAATACTCCTCTACTCCAACTTAAACAGGAGTGATTCCCATTTATAATCAATTTATCATCATTTCAATAGGATCCTGACCCAGAAAAACATAACGTATGTGGTGAACATGCTATGAAGAACCAGAATCTGCTTATAGGTAAGTAAATACAAAATATTGGGAAAAAAGTTGTTTATAAAAGATAAAATGGTCAACCCTAAGAAAAATTCTTATATTGGCAAATATCATTTTTCTGGACTCAGATTTCTGTAATAATTATATTCCCTAGGCACATCTTAACTAAATAACATACACTTTTATTATAGATCTAGCCTTTTAAAATGCTTTCCAGATGATGGAAATTTTCTCAGGCCATCTCATCAAATTTCTAGAACATCCACTATAAGCTTCAATAAATAGAGTTTCCATCTTTCCTGCTCCAGCATTAAAACACTGCATTTTCAGAATTAGGGAAGATCTGTAAGAACATACCTACCATTCAAAGTGCTCTGTCCTGCTTGAAAACAGAATTTTGTACACCTGGCTGTAAGTGAAATAAAATTTCTGCTCATCTCAAAAAGAAAAAAGTGGTCTGTTCTTAAGAAAAAGATATATAATCTTAGGCCAGTTCGTGATGCCTGTGCCTGGTACAAACCTGTTCCCATGAAATCCAGACACTTTATCCAGAGTATTTGTCACTAAAATTCAAAGCTTTATTACTTTTGCTACTGCTCACACTGTCTTCACTTCTGTCAGTCACTCTTCCCTGTTGTGCAAATTTGTCTCGTTTTTATCCCTTCATCATATTTGAACAACTTACAGCCAGTGTCACAGAAATTTTAATAATGAAGCTTCTCTAAAAACAACAAAAAAAAAGCTTTAAGAAACAATGGTGATATAGCACCTCTTGTATACTCCTGGATAGAGCTGGAACACATTCTACTAAGTGAGGTATCCCAAGAATGGAAAGACAAGCATCACATGTACTCACCATCGAATTGGTATTAACTGATCAACACATAAATGCACATATAAGAATAACATCTATTGGATGTTGGGCAGGGGGGAGGGGGGAGGGGGGAGGAGGGAGGAGGGGACGGGTATTTGCATACACAAAGAGTTCAATGTGCACCACCCGAAGAATGGACATATTTCAAACTCGGACTTGGGGGGGGGGCAAGAGAGCAACATACATAACCTAAAGATCTGTACCCCCATAATATGCTGAATTAAAAAAAAAAAAAGCTTTCTCAGAGAAGGACACTAGCAGAGTCTTCCCAACATCTTTTGTGAATTCACCTGCTCACTATATGTGGTCATACCCGTGACCTCTGGGTGCTTCAGCAGGATCAGGAGTCCATATCTCAAGGTGGTGCTCGTTGTCTCTATTCCAGCTCAAAACACATCTGTTACGGTGGAGAGCAAGTTTTCAATAGTAAATTTGGACTGTAGATTTTGCTTTTCCTAAAAATTATTTGATTATATAATTACTTCAAAAAAGTTTAACAACATATTTAAGAACAATGAATTCAAAATAAATCAAATTGTGCCAAAGATAAGCAAACTTAGAAACTGGAGAGTACAGTATTAAGACTCCAACAACTATTATGGCAAAATCATTATGGCAGAGAATGTAGTTTAGTTGACCCAGTCTTCATTTTCCTACTCCTACTTATCCGTTGTTTGCATAAAAATTCTATTTCCCAGTCTCTCTTGCAGCTATGTTGGCCATGAAACATATTTCTTGTCAATGACACATAATCTGGAACCTGCTGATAGCATTCCTCTCTTTCCTTCTTCTTATTCAAAACACATATGTAAAGGTAGAGGTGGTGTAGACATCATCTTGGAACATGAGTATTTGAACATCAAGATGCTCATGTATTAAGTGTGAAAATGAAAAATGGCAGGCACTTGGTTTCATGATGATTAAGGTCTACATTACTAGGTCTGGACTGACCAACGTGTAACTCCTTGAATGCGAAATAAATAAACACACTATTTCTTTAAGCCATTGTTAATTGATTTTTCTCTTGTTTGTACACACATACAATATTAATTGATAGAAATGAGTAAACTAAAGACATATCTTGAAAGATGTTATAAGCCAAAATCAACACTTCCCATTCTAGGAGTGTGACAATAGCAACATTGTGGAACAGGAGGCTCCAGTCTTTCCCTCCATCCATGGATGTATCAAATAAATATCTATTCATGGATCAATTACTTCTGAGAGAAAGTCTAAAATGAGGTGAGAGACTCCTGTGCACTGAGAAACTGATAAAATATCCACATCAACTGGGAATAAAAAGGTGCAGCATACTTGTGCAGTAACCCTGCCCTGGGCACTGCACCATACGATTGTGAAGGGATTCCCAACACCCAGCTTCTCCATGGGGACAAGATGATTTAGAACACATATATAATGCCCTAACTGTAAGGTTCACCATAATCAGGCACTTAATTAACCAACTCTGGGATCAGAAGGAAGTAGGCATACAGCAGTCTCTCTAGATCTCAGAAAAATTTCTGATATTATACAGATGCCCAAGCACTTCATGGGCTTTATCCCCTGAAATCAAGGCGAATAAAGAGCTAACACTCAAAGATCTCAGCTTCTCCTCAGAAAAGACATGTTAGCATACTCTGCAAACTGTTGCTTTGACAACTGAGCTTCTAACTAGCCTGCATCAGGGAGTAAACTGAACCAACAAACAGTAGACCTCTGGAAGCCTGAGCAAAAGGTTGTCACTTGCTGAGACTTCTCCTGGGCTCTCCCCAGTGATAAATCCAAGTCCACCCACTCATCTTGGAAGGAGTTTGTCCATAAACTGAGTGCCATAATTTCTGTAGCTCTCACCCAAAGTACTGCATCCTTAACCACCTGGCTCTGGGAATTGGTAGGCCTCTGCATTCCTGAGTCCCCTAGATCACACAGGTTTAAAAAAAAAAAGGTAGATATGAAGCAGACCCACTTCTAGCAGCTGTCCCTGAGCACCAAAAGATACAGTCTAAACATGAATACATGCATGTGCTGCAGATCCTCTCCCCAATCTAGTGCAGAGAGAGTGGGAAATAAACACCCATTCTCAGTGTCAGTATGATGATAGATTAAACTGGAACACACACCTCAATTTTCCAACTACATCTAGAGGGTCTGGCTTCTACCTTAACTGTCTTGTGGTACTAACAGGACATGGCACATCCTACTCTCCTAACTCACCAAAAACAGAGACAGCAATTTGGACAAACACAAAGATTTGAGATGTACCTTAGCATTTCTGGGTGGACATATTGGTGAGGTCTTTCTCCTCTATCAGGTCAGTGGAAACAACACAGGCAGAAATAGTTGTCTTATCTAATGCACAGAAACTACCACAGAGAGTCAAGGAAAATGAATAAACAGCAAAATATGTACCAAATAAAAGAATAAGATAAATTTCTGAAGGCAGTCAGGGAAGAGTGACTTGTTACATATGAGGGAACCACAAAAAGACTCTAAGCAGATATTTTTCAGCAAAAATCTTATAGTCCAGAAGGGAGTAGAATAATTTATTCAGAATCCTGAAGGGGAAAAAATTGCTAACCAAAAATAGTTTACCTAGAAAACCTATCTTTCAAAAATAAAGGGAAGATAAAGACTTTCTCAGACAAAGCAAAGTTGAGAAAGTTTATCACCACTAGACTTGACTTACCATAAATGCTAAAGTGATTTCCTCAAGCTGGAGGAAAATGATGCTAATTAATAACATTTAAAAAATATGAAAGTTTAAAATTCACTGGTAAAAGAAAGTACACTGTCAAATTCAAAACACTCTAATACTGTAACAGTGGTGGGTAAATCAAATATATGTCTAGTATAAAGGTTAAAAGACAAAGCTGTTAAAAAACAATAGCTACAATAATTTGTTAACAGATATGAATTATTTAAAAATGTAAATAGTGATACCAAAAACATAAAGCACAGGAGAGGGACAGTAAAAGTGTAGAATTTGTATATATAACCAAAATTAATTTCTCAGCTTAAAATAGTCTGTTTTAAGTATACAACGTCTTATGTAAGGCTCAGGGTAAACACAAAGCAAGAGCCTGTAATAGACATACAAAGATGGGTGAGACTAAGCTGGCTTTAGGTGTCACCTGGTGCTAGTGGCCACAGGGGAGTACCCATGTCACTCCTCTCCCAACTCCAGCAGCCCAGCACAGAGAGTGAGGGAAGAGAGTGAGAGACTTTGCCTGGAAATCCAAGGAATTCTCCTGTATCTTACTCAAGTCCACCAAGGTGGTACCACTAGGAGTATACAAGAGTAATAGCATTACTGGGCTTGGGGCACACCCAGTGCTAATACAGCAGCAGTGACCAAAGATTTAAATCACAACATTCAATTTCCTTTGACTATCTGGAAAGCCTTCTCAAAAGGGACAGGTTCAAACAGGCCCAGACTGTGAAGATTAAAATAAATGCCTATCTCTTCGATGCCCAGATATAGACAAACATCCACAAGCATCAAGAACATCCAGGGAAACATGACCTCACCAAGCGAATTAAATAAGGTACCAGTGAACAATCCTGGAGTGATGGAGATATGTGTCTGTTCAGACAAAGAATTCAAAATAGCTATCCTGAAGAAGCTCAGTGATCCTCAAGAAAACATAGAGAAGGAATTCAGAAGCCTCTCAGGGAAATTGAACAAAGAGATAGAAATAATTTTTAAAAAATCAAGCAGAAATTCTGTATCTTAAAAATTCAATTGACAAACTGAGAAATGAATCAGAGTCTCTCAATAGCAGAACTGACCAAGTAGAAGAAAGAATTAGTGAGTTTGAAGACAGGCTATTCAGAAATACACAATCAGAAGAAAAAAAACAAAAAAGAATAAAAAGACTAAAGCATGTATACAAGATCTAGAAAATACCCTCTAAAGGGCAAATCTAAAAGTTATTGGCCTTAAAAAGGAGGTAGACGGAGAAAGACTAGAGTAGAAAGTTTACTGAAGAAATAACAGAGAAATTTTCAAACCTAGAGAAAGACATCAATATTCACGTACAAGAAGATCACAGAACACCAAGCAGATTTAACCCAAACTAGACTACCTCAAGGAATTTAGTAATCACACTCCCAAAGGTCACAGATAAAGAAAGGGTGCCAAGGGAAGCAAGAAAAAAGAAAGAAAGAACATGTAAAGGAGCTCCAATACACCTGGCAGCAGATTTCTCACTGGAAACCTTACAGGCTAGGAGAGAGCAGCATGATATATTCAAAGTGATGATGAAAAAAAACCTTAACACTAGAATATTACACCCTCCAAAAATATACTTGAAACATGAAGGAAAAATAAAGACTTTCTCAGACAAACAATAGCTGAGGGATTTCATCAACAGCAGATGTGTCCTACAAGAAATGTTAAAAGGAGTCCTTCAGTCTGAAAGAAAAAGACATTAATGAACAGTAAGACATCATCTAAAGGTATAAAACTTACTGGTAATAGTAAGTACACAAATACAGAATACTCTATTGTTGAGATTGCAGTATATAAACCACTTATACCTTGAGTAGGAAGACTAAAAGACAAATCTACCAAAAATAACTACAACAACTTTTGGAGAGATAGATAGTATAAAAAGATATGGATGGAAAGAAGAAAATGTTAAAAGGAGAGGTGGAGTAAAGGGTAGAATTTCTGTTAGATTTCTCATTTCTTATTTGTTTGTAAGAAGAGTTGTCATGTGTTTAAATAATTGGTTATAAAATGTTTTTTGAAAGCCTCATGGTAAACTCAAATCAAAATACCTACAACAGTTACACAAAAATAAAAAGTAAGAAATTAAAACACACTACCAGATAAAATCACTTTTAACAAAGGAAAACAGGAAGGAAGGAAGAAAGAGAGGACCACAAAACAACCGGAAATCAAAAAACAACAATACAGGAGTAAGTCCTTACGTATCAATAATAACATTGAATGTGAATGAACTAAACTTTCCCATAGAAAGACATTGAGTGGCTGATGGATTAAAAAAAAAAAAAGCCACTATATGTTGTCTGCAAGAAACACACTTCACCTATAAAGAAACACATAGACTGAAAATAAGGGATCGAAAAAGATATTCCACGCAAATGGAAAGAAAATAGTAGGAGTAGCTATACTTCTATCAGATAAAATAGATTTTAAGACAAATACTCTAGAAAGAGACAAAGAAGGCCATTATACACTGATTGTTGTAGTGTGGAGGGCGCGAACAGACCACGAGAGAATTTAATGGAGCCAAATTGAGAGTCTTTATTAGCTGGCCAGCGACCACCTCTGCCTGCGTAAAAGCAGTACGAGAGGATGGCACCAGTCTTTTGCTTCTACAGGAATTTTATACTAATTTGAGGGGGGCTACGTGCCATAGAACAGGTACTCTAAAACAAAGGAAACAAAGGTAGAATGTACAATTAATATTTCAATGATACAGAGTCC